CAAACGCTATAATTCACAACGAACGATTCACACACTCTGGCACTTGACTCACTTGTCCGTCTCTATCTCTGTCTGCAATTCAATTCCATTGTTGTCGTCAACTTCTTGGCGATCTTATATATTATAAAAGCGTACATCTCGTCTCTTCGTGAGTCTTCTAGAAACTCATCACGTGTTACCAGCGTCATGTGACTTCCGCTGTCGTAACACTGCCCCTTCCTTAGTATTGTTGCGTCATCGAGATCATGTGATTCTCACGCCCTCTACTTTCTAGAACTATCCTGTACTTTGGCGAATGCTCTAGTATTTACTAGATACAGGGTAGCCTGAAATATAAAAGAGGGTGACAACGTGACGGGAAGGTAAGGTCTGTGTAGATAGTGAGTAACTGAACTGCAGTCACAGGGTACTGTTGAAGTTAACGTTCGTTCGTTATAGTGTTTGTTTTAGCGCGAATATTGAAATTAAGTGTATCGTAAAGTTATGTTCGGAAAGAATAAACCAGTTTTATTAAGTAAGGACTTGTGTCGCTAAAGTTTCGTCGGAACGAAGTTACGGAAAGTTAACTAACAAACGGAGACGTAACAGTATTGTTCGTCCCGAACAATAGCCATTTAAATTAAACCAAGAGATAATTAACAATAACTTAATTAAATGTACAGAATTCACGAACACTACAAACACAAACATTAAAATTCAACAAAGTCTCTTAATTTTACGGGACGTATTTTATTCCATACTGGCTTCTGTTTCATGTGAGGCTCATCTGCTCTTTCAGGAATTGTCCAATCATCGGTAATGGTCACATCAGTGGTAATAACTTCATGAAGGGCTTCACTGTTTCCCCTTCTCAAAACCGAGTACAGTTTCTTCTTCGACAGTGGCCTTTCCAGGTGACATGTCTTCAGTAGCGTCTTTTGCTCCATTGTTCACTTTATTCCAACTGAAATATCCTGGACCGTGATAACGACAAAGCCTGTTGGCATGCACCACCTTTGGCTTACTTCGCCGCCCACATTTTATCCGATAAGTTACGTCTAAGAGACGATTCACTATGTCATATGGGCCTTCCCGTGGAGCTGACAACTTAGGAGACTTCCCTTTGGTCTTCCTGGGATTATATAACCACACTTTGTTTCTTGGTACAAAGCTGACTTCAGTAGATTTCTTATCATAACATAGCGATATGGAATCAGCAGACGTTTTCAAGTTTGAACGCACTTGATGGTGAATATTATCCATCCTTTCCTATAATACTTTCACGAATTCTGACACATTTTCAGGCAACTCTTCATAAGGTAGGCGACCTGTTAACAGATCCATTGGCAACC